GAAACAGAGGCCCATAAAAATTTTAGAACTTATCCAAGGCCATGGCACTAACAATGTGTTCCACTCAGACCTGTGTCCACAAAAGCCCATGCTCTTAGCTACTCGACTGCCTTCTAGGGATGTTATTTAGTTTATTATTATTATTATAATTCATAGGAACATGCCAGTGTAAGGATCATATTTCTTTAATTCTAAGACATACTTCTTTGCCACATTTGACAGTTATGCTATTAGGGTGGCCTTCAGTTGGTGTGTGCAAACATGGTGCTGGGGGTGTTCCTGCCTCTCCATTCGCCCCTCTCCAGCCCAGAGCTGTTGAATCACCGTCAGGGGTTGTGTATAACCAGGGGTGTATTCTCGAGGCTAATGCCTGGACTACTGTTGGTATCAGCAGATTGTTTTCCTTTAATCATGGCCTTGGTTGTTTTAGGAGGCAGCTTCTATCCGACAGCAAATCCTCCCGTTTTGCCAAATCAGCTCTGCTCAGCATCATTTATTCATATAATGGTGTGCGGATTCTTGGGTAACTTGGATGGGCAAGTCTTTAAATTTTTCTTCTTTATATGTATTAAAAGAAGGAATGTCATTTCATCTTTTTTGTTTGTTGTTGTTTTTGTTTTTCCTCTACTGGTTCTTTAAAGACCAAAGGGAGGGTCTTTGTTTTGACTTGCTATCACTTAAGAAAATTTCAGTGGTGGGGAACTAATTTCATCCAGAAACATTCTGAGCTTCAGTTAAAATGTAAAGTGCTTTCTTTTGCCCCAGGATAAAATGAAATTTCATTTGCTTTTACTTTTCTGCAATCATGCCAATAAGGAGTTATTGCCAGGGGCACAAGGGAAGCCAGTTCTATAGATGAACAAATCAATGGCAAATCTACTTGTCAAATCCTGAACATACCACTGAATGAGTGTTAGGAATACACACACACACACACACACACACACACACACACACAAACACACACACACACACCACATTCTCCCCTGAACTATCTGGGGGTAAGGATGAGATTTCCCTAAAATAATACTAAGACTCCCACATTCTCAAACTCCTTATATACACAGCAGGTTTGTGTGCACAGTTATGAACTGAAAACACATATAGCATCTTAATTCATAATAACAGATAGCATTTATTGAGTGATAACACTATTGATGATGTCATGTATCTGACCCTGTTTTAAGCACTTTAGTCCTGGAAGCTGGTGCCACTATTATCCCCATTTTTCACATGAAGAAATGGAGGCACAGAGTGGGCAAGCCAGTTGCCCAAGGTCTCACTGCTGATGAATGGGCTCTAGTTTCAGAGCCCATTCTTTCTGCCTGTACTCTGGACTGTCTCTTACCATACATCCAAACCAAAAATAGCTTTCAATAAAAATGCTAAACCTAACTCTAAACCATGGTGATGATATGGCAACCACTTATTGAGTCTTTAACTGTGTATTCAGGCTCTATGTAGGTGTTTTTCACACATTATCTCATTTAATCTTCATAATTTAGGGATTTAGATGTTGTTATCCTTATTTATAGTGAAAGTGAAGCTCAGAAAGCTCCAGTTATATATCCAGTTATTGGCTAAAAACTTTTACAAGCCTAAGATAGTGCTCATTTCACTGCCTAGCTTCCACACTTGCACGAGCTGGGGATTTGTTAAGTAAAGAGAACTAGAATGTTCTCCCAGCATTGTCATAGTCATTATAAGTTTCATGATCATTAATTACCAATAGGAAATTTGCTTCCTTCCCACTACAGAGTGAAAGTGGGCATGGTATAATTTTAAAATACTCTAACATCTTAGGTAAGATGTGCTTTGTGACTTTGAAATGTAGTATTTCTGTTAAAATGAATTACTCTTCGGCACTGTGTCTGACTTCCGTATTTACTGTGGATGAATAGCAGCGTCAGAAAGCTATCAAATAACTGAAGTTTTCCCTCCATATTTGCTCATAACTACTGGTTGGGAAAGAAAAAGAACAGAAAACAAAAATCCTTAAATATATTGAGATATCCCATCCCTTTAAATTTACTGAGATCCAGTAAGTGGGAACAGCCAGATTATAAGACCAGGGAGCAAAACTGCAAGTCCTGCTTCCTGCTCAGAGCCAAAGGCCAAGAGCTTGGAGGAAGATTCTGCCATGTCTCCCTATGTGGGGTGGGCAGCTGCCCAGCAGAGGAGACCTGGGACTTCCTGCCCAGGCCGCCTCACACAGGTGCCATCAAAACTTGGAGGGTGAGGCTCTGGTGTAGGAAGGTTGAGTTAGTGCCACAAGATAATAAAACTAGAAAAAGGTGGAGTCTAAATCTAATCCCAGGCTGGTCTGAATTTACTCAAGCTCTTAACTACTTGGTAATCCCATCTTGGTTTCCAGGTAGCCAAAAGAATCTTAGCAGTGGGGGGCAAGGATCAGGGATTCTGATAACTGAATGCTCCTGCTGACACCTTCCCAATAGGCCTACCTCACCAAACTATCAGTGGAGTAAAACATGCTTTTCAAATGTAGGTTTGGATGTTAAGACCTGGGTGAACTTTCAAATGTAAAAAATTCTTGTCAGGAACTCACATGGAAGAAACTCTAAATATATTAAGAGTTTTCTTCTTGTACCTTTTCTGGAAAAGCTCTGTGGAGATTTTTAAGGAATGGAAAATGGGCTGGGTGGAGTAACCCTAGTTTACATGGTATTTTGAGCAAAGCTAGTTGTATTAAACCTATTCCAATGTATTGTTACCTTTTGCACCACATTAATATAAGCCAGAGGAACACACACACACACACACACACACACACACACCAGATAATTTTTGCCCTTCTTTTTTGGTGAGTTTGCCTGAATCATAAGGTGCAAACAAGTATCTTTTTACCAAGAGATAAAGGGCATACACCTTTTTCTGAGAAGATGATAGTGTTTATATTATAAAGATTAAAAAAGAACAGTGCTACATGACTGTGGCCAGTTCATCTACTTTGGAAATGTGAGTATCTCGGTCTCTTCTGGCACTAAGAGAGGACATAAAGCCACTAGGCATGGTTCTAGAACTCATGGACAAGACTTCATGAGTGGGTAATATTGATTTCTCTGTAAATGTAATTGTTTTTCACTTTAGGAGGTTTGTGTACATTATCAATCAACTATCAAAACAGTTTCTAAAATTAAAAAAAATTTAAATGAAGTCAGCTCTTATTCAGCACATGCAGAGTGCCAATCAAGCCTCTATTCTGAAGCTCATTTTCTTATGGGTACTTATGGGCTGACAGAGTTACCCCGGGATGGGAGCTGGCAAAGGCAAACAAAGCCTGTAACCGCAGACCCTGAGAAGGGGATGGATTATAACTGGTAAAATGATCAGCCATTAAATCGTCAGAAGAATAAACTCCTAATATTTCCTTCTAAATAATAAAGCATTTTCTCCATTACAAATTCTCAAGTGGTGGGGCACAGTGGTACATTTTACTTGGATATTAGAACAGAAAAATCAGAGGGAAATGCACATCAGTGAATATGGTTGCTATCTTGAACTCTTAAAATTTACATCTCAAGGGCCAGTTTCCTGGCAGGAATGAATCAGGGTGTTCTATTTTGGGCATAACTCTAGGAAACAGTTTCCAGGACTGACCTGATCTGAGTATGAGTTATAGATACTATAACCAACTTTTCCTCCACACCAATATCCTGTCTGTCCAGAAATCTTAATAGGGTTTGAGAGCCTCCATTTAGAGCTGGCTGCATAAAATGATCCTTTGATGAAAAGGGATTGGAACAAGGGTTAAAGCCAACATTGAAAGGTGACTGTGGAGGGCACGGTGTTCATACAACTCTCCTTTAATATGTGCGGTGTGCACCTGTGATAAGATGATTCATTACCTGAGGCTGCTCTTTGACAAGCTCCATCGTTCAGCCCTCGGGTTCTGACGGGACAATCCTGCACCCGCCCAGGAAATACAACAAGGTCAGCTTTTTTTCCCTAGGACGTACACTGAGACGGTTTAGCTTATAATGCATCTCTGTTTACTCTTTATGTAAAATAAAAACAAGGCTCAAGACATTCCTGTTCTCCACAGAGCTGGCCAAACAGGGACATTCAAACTTGCTGCTGGGTGAATAACTCTGGGAGGAAAAGTCTCGGAAAGGGTGAAAGCTCCGGCTGCCTTGCGTTCCATCCTCAGAAACAGCCACATTTGAGATAGGGGTGCCTTTACCGCTGAGGCTGGGCCTGCGAATGGAGGGCACGCCGACACCATCAACTTCAACTCTTGTTTGCTTCTCATGCAGCTTTTAGGTTACTTGGGGTCTCGAAGAGGCAGCCACTCTCATGTGAAACTGCCCGTGTCTTAGTGACCGAGATGCAGGCACATGAGCGGTGAAAGGGGACTGGCGCACTGCTCGGGACATGAGAAGGTTGACTGGCCCTGGCGGGCTGAACTCAACCTACAAGCCCGCAGGAAACTCAGCTGGACGCCCGGTACGTGCTGCCCGCTCAGCTGGCTTCGCTCTAACCCACACATCCATGCTTATATAGGACTTCTCTGTTTCCCGTCACCGCCCATTCATCCATAAATTGGCTTTCCTCAGGCTAGTTTACAAATCTTAGAGCAACTAGAGAAGGAAACTTACCAGTTTTCCCCATTAGCCGAGTTTAAAACGGATGAAAAAAGTAAGACCAAATAGGAATTTTATTTTTAAACTTTACCTTTTTTTTTAAAGAAAGAATGCCCCATGGTGAAAAATAATTTCTTCAATTAAGGTCAGAACATGAGTCATTGCACAGAAATAAAAACAAAATAAAACTTAGACATTCTAGGGGGAGGAAAAAAATTCTTGCTTCTCAAATATAGAAACACCTCCGAACCCTCCTCCCATTGTTGATATGGCTCGTAAACATTATTTATTTGCCTCAAATGGATGTGGTTACATATCAGTGTCATGCAAAAGAAATTCATTCCGTTTCCGAGTTCAATCTGCCATAAAAATCGACTCTTGTTCCCATCTCCCACTCACCTGTCCTTGTGCATTAGTAACTAGTTGGCCCGTGACCCCCTGAAGACTGGAGAGGGCATTGCCAAAGGCCTGTGAGCTGGCTATGGAGCCCATGGCTGCTGCAGCCGCTGCAGCCTGACTTGCTAGTGGATTATTAACCAGCTGCAAAGAGAGAAAAGATCAGGGTGAAACCACTGAGGGAGGCACAGCACGCAGACACAACATTCACGTGGGGAGGGAAGTTCTAGCCCTGCTTGGCTCATGCAAAGGGCCCGGAACCCACTGGAGGGGGCCTGGTGAACATTCCCTCTGAAGCTGTGGGCTTGGGGGAGGCTGGAGATGAGGCTGGAGGGAAACACCCAGATGCTTACTGGAGCCTGTGTTCAGGACTAGCTCCAGGAGGGGGTGAGGTAGGCCCTGCTCTGCTCTGCCCAGGTGGCGAAGTGACTCTGGAGAAGTCCTGGATTTTGTCTTCTAGACTAAATAAACCTCTGAGGAAGTGTCTTACTTCCCTTGAGGGAATCAGACAGAAAGTGGGATTCGAACAGGATGGGAGTAGGAGTGGAGGCGAGGGAGAATGCGAGGACTTCTGCAGATGATTGATCATTTTCTTCTGTGAATTATGGTTTCTTTTAGGGTCACTGGGTAAGTAAGATGCCTCCACTTCCTTCGCGGAGGAAGAAGGAAACCAAGGTCACTAGCAGTGGGATCCTTCAGCCTGTGCGCTCTCAGAGGGTGGGTCTAGAGTTGGGAATTTTTGGGGGGCTTGCCCTGACCATGGGACTCAAGGCCAATGAGAAGGATCCTTTGGCGAACGGTCAGGTTGACCTCTGTTTGCTGCTTTAGCTAATATCTGGCCTTTCACTGGGCTCTTTTCTGGGACAAGAGTGAAACAGGAAGGAGAATTTGACTGGGCGGAGGGGATCCACTCAAGGAGGAGGTTATGGCTGCCAAGATCTGTTTTTCCATGGAGACCAATTCAATATTCTTTATCCTGCCAATTTTCCACACCACAGGTTTTCAGGTCTTCTGACCATGAGGCAGAAGTGTAGCATGAACTAAAATCTGCATTTAGGTTAATGACTAGATATAAATTCAAGAAACATTTAAACTATTTTCACAGTATTGGTTTTGATACATGAATTTCATTTGTATTTATTCTAGGGTGTTATTTTTCCCATATAGTTCCTCTCAAGTACAACAATTGTTGTGTATAATAATGCATTTTCCATCACCAGTTCCTACATCCATGAAATTCCTGCATTTTAGCAGAAACCTGCCAAGACTAAGACGTGGTGGAAAAAAATTAATGCCATACCTAATTTAAGTCCTGAAACTCTTTCAAAGATGTCTTTTTTTTTAAACTTTCTTCTTTACATTCTCCACTCTCTTTCTTAGTCAGTCTTCTTTCTCTCTTTTCCTTTTCCTGCTTTCTTTACCTCAAGACATATTTTATTATTTTATTTCTTTGGAAATTTGCCTAGAGTTTATATTATCTGATGAGGACAGAAATGCTAGTTGTCAGAGGAACCAGCAAAAGAACAGAAATTTAAAAATTCTTTTTTCATTAATGTGATATCCTTCTCTTAGTGGTTTCCTTACTTATTTATAACCAAATTTCACATAACTAAACTAGTTTTACAGTAATTTCATGGACCCAGCACATTTATTTGTTTTTTAGAAATGAGAATCCATTTTGAGCTCATGACTTTATGTGTCTTTTGCTTTTATCTCTCTCCTAAAAGACAATAATGATTTTCTTTTTAAGGAGAAAAAAATTCTCGTTCATCAGCCTACAGAGAGACCCTGTCGTATCCCAGATTACCACCATGGGATTTAAGATTCAGGTTGGCCGTGATTTTGGTTTTCTAAGTAAATCTGTATAGTGCATATGAGGCAAGTCATGGTATATGCTGAATGAAAACTCTCCTTATTTTTGATTTGGCTACCTAAGATGAAAGAAGGTATATTGTATATTTTTTCTCTCCTAACTTGACAAGACTCCTTAAGGAATACCTTCTCCAAACTGTCAGGACAGACACTGCCCCTTGGCACACCATTCTCAGGTCATCTGTCAGCTGCTAATGTTTACATTTCTTTTATGTGATATGAGTTGAAATCATAATGGAATTCCTGAGTTTTAGGAAGCTAAATTGGTTTCTTAATCCCAAAGGAAGATTAAATTATGTGCAGTTTGGTTTTAGCATTTGAATATGCAATTTTTGTCCATGAATTTTGGATGAAAATTTTAATCAGGACATACAGTTTTCTGAAGAAGATAGGGATTCCTGTTTAATGAGGAGAAAACATTTTTGGAAATTGTAAGACATTTCCCTAACATATATGCAAATCAAAAATTCATAATAGGAAATTATAGAATCACTTTCTGGATACCATGCAACTGTTCAGATGGAAAATTCCCTACATGTAGCACACCAGTGTATTGCTCAGCTATAGTCTCATGTATTTGCAGTAAATTCAGGCATAATGTTGTAAACATAAAACCAAGAAGATATTTAAAAGCAGGCTCTGAGCCTTTGTGTTATGGGGCAAGGAATGGGTACACTTCTACTGCTTTGTGAGATTTCTTCAGCAAGCACAAATGTACAGATTTTGTTTATTTTTAATATTGCTCTATATTCTGGTCCTAGGTTGAAATCTGATTTGTCCTTTTTTTGTTGCCTTTCCTGCTTAATGGAGCAAAATGCCAACTCCATGATTCTTCTATTTCCTATTCCACATCCTAGGTCTTTGTGAAAGGCAGAGGGGGTCTGGGGAGATGTCTTGCTGGCCCTTGGAAGTAGACCTAGAACTAAAGGTGAGGGAGAGTGGAATATATGGTATATACGGTGGTATATACAGAATATACAGACAGTGGGTACAAGTCAATCTGTAGTGGACAGCAATTCAGGTGGACCATTGCTGGTGTTGATGGATGCAGCTTCATAAACATCTTTTGGCTTCTCTGTCTGACTGCCAAGGCAGGGATATAATATGTATTAAGATATGAGGCAGGAAGGGGGCAGGAGATAGCCAGGAAACCTGTGTTCTCTTCATTACCTCGGGTCATGTCACTCTATACTGTTCCCAGTCATGTTATATTAGCAGTGCTCCTATCAGAACTCCTTCTCTGTCTGGGGACTCAGGGTAGATTTAGATAGTAGGGAACCCAGACACATCACATGCACATAATGAGAATGTTACCCTTCTGGGACCAGCTGGGTATTCTGAAGTTATTGCCAAGGTAGGGCCTTCAGATCTTTCATTGCCAATGTTCCTAATCAGCAAAGGATGGCCCAAATGAAGTCTGACTATATTACATACTTGTGTTTTCAACAGACTGACTCAAAAGACGTGCTGAATTCTGTTGCACACTTGTTTATGAATATGGAAGCTATTGAAATACGGATTTGCAGGAGACTAGGATTCTCACTCAACATCCAAATGGGTTCTGGGCCTTGAATACATCAAGCTATAGTTTCACCATTCTCAGATAGTTAAAAAACCTAAAGAAACACTAATTTCTTTAGTCTCCCATGCCTACAAATTTTAGGAGGTAAAATAATTTAAAAAATAGCTTTGTACCAGGAAGGAAGGCACCAAGTCTCACAGAGCCCTACCCACCTATTCATGCAGCTGAGGGCATCAGCTCAAAACTGAACTGTCTTGGCTTGTGACTTCAAGTTAACCCAGTCTCATTTTCTCATGAGTAGACCGGGTATAAAGGTGGTGATGCTCACAGAGTTAGGATGAGAATTAAATGAGATAGTACAGGCAGAAGTTTCAGAACAATATCTAACACGTAGCATGCTCTTAACAACTGCTAACCATTATTCTCACAGTTCATACTGGGTATGAGGATTTTTGAACAAATTGGTTTATCAGAATTAGAAGTTACCCCCATAAATATTTACTCACTTTGGAAATAATGTGAACACACGAGACTATTCTCTATTTTTATATTTTAACTGTACTCTCTCATTTTACTTATTTTTGAAGAGTAGCTTGAGGGAAGATATTAGCTAACATGATTATTAGATAGGGTGAATTTCATGATTTCAAAGACAAATATGCTGTTCAGAAATAGTAAAACTGGAAATACTTAAACACGACTTCACCTGCTTGTCTTGGGCCTCTCATATTTGATTATTTATAAAGAAATTTACAGAGAAAGCTGTATTTTGCCATGGAGGCCACCTTGGTAGGTGACAGACTGGAAAATGAAGACCTTTCCAGTCCGTCATCCTCATACTTCATTTACAACCTTTGTTAGGTTTCCATAAGGGCACCCATTTTGGACTAATTCCTGATTGATATCAAAATATGGGCTTTGTGCAAGTGCTTGTTATCTGTGAACACTACATGGTGATGAGAAGAAAAACTGATTAAAGTCTCTTCAAGGAGGACTCTTAGATGATGTCATATGTATGACATCAGAAGAATGTCCCCATAGATTATGTTACTACATGATGGAGGGGTGTTTTTCTCCAAGTCTTGACCCACCATCTCCTTCTCTGAAAGACTCATATCCTATAGCCTGGTAGGTAACTCAGGTTTCTTGTATCTGACCATTAGTAGTCAGGATACTTCGCATGAAAATTTGTTGATTACATGGTTCTATTATCATAAATCTTATTTATAAATGGGGGCATGCTGAGGCAAGTTAGCTGTGGTATTATATTCTATACTTAATGCCTTTATTCCAAGAGGGCCTTATGGATGCAGCAGGCTCAAAATCTATCTGCAGCATAATTGCCTATGATCTATAGTTTTATCATTCTTCTCATGAGCTATGTGGACTTTATAGAGTATGGATTTTGGAGCAGCTCCTTTTTGCTACTAATTTTTCAATTTAGAGCCCTGAAACTGTGGTACCATTTGTTTTTAAATGAGGACATTCATAAATGCATTTATCACAATTCAGTCCTCATTTAAGGTCTGGATGTGACTTGCAGGGACTGCCTAGTAACAGAAGGGCAAATGTGGCTTTCTGAGTGCATTATATGCATTACGTCCTTGACTTTTCTTATACTTTATATACGAAAAATGTGTCTCTTGGTCCTCTGAGACTCTTTTAACCAAATCAGTACATCTACTTCCTACCCTCAAGTCTTCCAGAAAATGCATAATAGAAGCGTGGCCATATTCATCTCAACAACCTA